TTAGGTTTTTGACACCTATGTTCCATTCAGTTGGGAAGGTGCCAGTTTTGATGATGTCATTGAATATTCTTTCTAGAGAAGGTATGAAATAATGCCGTCTGTGTTTGATCATTTCATTTAGAAGAGTGTCCATACCAGGTGCTTTTCTATATTTAAGTTTAAAAATTTGATAATGAACTTCTTTTACGGTGATCGGAGTGAGTGATACTGGTTTGAACGAATGAAATGAGTGAGTGAGGTGAGTAAATAAAATAACAAATGAACGTAAATTACAGCTGATAAAAAATTCTAATATAAAGGAGGCGCTGTATGATTCATTGCATTAGGGATTACAACTGAAATAAAAACTGTATAAAAAACTGAACGATTTAAACATGAGAAGTCATTACCTGTTGAGGGTTTCCAAGTTGATGAAGTCCTGTTTGACTCAGCCTCTGTCAAGTAATTTAAGGCAAAATATGTCCTGAGTATTGAATCTTCTGGAATGAGTGGTTCCAAGCAATAACCATAAGCCATCTCACAGAAGGTTATTTGAAATTCCAGTGGGTAGGGGGAAAGTATTAAACTTAACTGCATGACATATCATGTGCAAATTTCCAGATGGCTGGGGTGGGTGTTACCCCCGGGGAAGAAGGAAATTCCATTTAAAAAAGACAGGGGTGCTCATTGTACCTTTAAAGGGTTAAAAAAGTGGTTTTGGTACCTCTCAGGGTGTTCAGCGTCAAAAGGGCACAGCGGGAGCTTTTGTGCTGCCTTAATTAAGGGCATTGAGCCGGAAAAAAAAATGACAGAAGGTATTAATTTTGACAATCAACTTTACAAGTAAAAGGTATTAGAAGCTTTATGATTGTCTTTATCACTATCAAAGTTAGGAAAATGTGTTGTTTTACAAATGATACCTCTTAGGACCGCAAAACAGGATCTTGGTACCTCTGAGGGGATCTTTTCAAAATTTCCAAAAAGTACCCCCGTTCTTTTTTTTAAAGTGGAAGTCTCCCCAGGGACTGTTATCCTGCAGCAAGACATGAGATTCCTTCTCTTTTTGCTTGTTTTCAAGTTCTCAGTAGTAACAGGCAAACTGATGGAGGAGGCACTTACCTCAGCCTGTTTTTTCATGTCTGTTGTTTAGATACTCATCATTAAAGTGCCTATGAAGTAAAAAATAATTGCTGCTGATTTGAAAGTCTTTTCAAAGTAAAGAAGAATGGCGTTTTCCTTTTTGGAATATCTTTTTTCATTTTAGAGATATTCACATTTTTGTATTATAAGTGATGACGTCATAGGTGGTTCCACTAAAACAGTACAACACTCAATCAAGAATATCTCTAGAA